ATCTCAAGAAAATGCTGCGGGCGAAAGCCCGCGAAAGGGCGGCAAAAGGGTTTGTTTTGGGAGAAAGAATATTGGACAACCCCCACATGGAAACCCAAAAAGGCCCCTTTAAAAACTTCAGTCCTTCTAAAAACAGGACTATATGGGTTTCCATGTTAGTTTGGGGGATTGTATATTAAGGGGAGGCTGTTCCAAAGATGCTTTTATGTTGAGATCCCCAGAAAGGATACAGATATCCAAGAATGAGCAAACAACGGTGAGCACCTGTTCTCCTACCTCGTGCAGTCCCTGTGTGTCCCTCAAAGGGCCCCCCAACTTTCAGAATGACCCTATAGTTTTCATGTTTTTTCCAGTATCCCTACATGACCCTATATAACCCCCATATATTATATAGTAGTTCCCATTTTTCTTTCCATTATCCCTATATGACCCCTATATACCCATATATATATATATATAGTATCCTAAAACCCTATATCCCCAACGTGGCCACAAGGACTTGCGAGACGTGTGCGCAGCGATTGGCTGCGAATGCGCCCTTTGGCTGCAAGGTTTACGTGGTTACTGTCCAGGGCTAGGCTTTAGGTTCAGGGTGCAGGGTTCAGGGCTTGCGGCTTGGGAGGATTGGGGATCGCTTGTTGCTGAGATCTCTTTATGTGGGACTTTCTCAAAAACCGCTGCTTATTCAGAATCCTTGCAAGAGACCCATGCAATCCTCTCGTAGCATGATTTATATGTAAATTAGACTTACGTCAAGAAATCTCCGTGGCCATCTCCAAATACGAGTTCCCTTTTGCGCGGTGCATCTGTTAAATCAAAGGAACCCCATGTGCTTCGTATACCTTTCGGGCCCTTCAGGTTGTTGGGAGGCATGTGCACTACAAAACATGTTGGATGAGTTGCAATGCGCTGCGTTGTCTGGCTGTCTGGCTGGCTTAGCTTCGACTTATCTGTGCTAATTGTGAATGAAAGTGCGGGATACCTGGGTGGTATTGTAAATGTGGATACAAAAGTGTGGGACACCTGCGTATTAGTATAGTCTTCAGTACAGTGTAAGCTTACATTCTCCTTCGGGCTGCTGTATCTTAGATGACTATAATCTTGTTTGGTTCAGCCACCAAAACATCCCATCCGAGGCCCTCTGTGATCAGGATGCCGAAATCCTGGAGAAGCTTGGCCTCAAAGATCTAGGTTTCTTTGGGTCCATTCAACTCAAGTTGCCGTGACTAGTGCCAAACTTTGTATGGTCCATTCAAGGTTTAGGGCTTGCAGAGCCCTCTATGGGATCCCCAAGGCTTTTGTGGAAGCAGGACGCTCTGTGAGCTTACTTCCCGAAAACAATGAATCACGCGAAGGGGGCGCATTGGCATTTGTTAGGTGCAGGACATGGGGCTTGAAAGTATTGGGCTGGCAAGACTGGCAATGCTAAAACATCCTGACCCCAACAACAATGACGACTTCAAATATCCATACAACAAAGAAAATCAGTATGTGATAACGAGAATGACGAAAAACTAGTGGTATTCTGTACTCTGTATGTTCAGGATGGCGCGCGGTTTCCGGCCGGACCTCATCGTCTCTGCGCCAGGGACTGATATGAAATTTCTCTGGGCGAGGGGGGAGGGGTTGAGCCTTTCGGGTTTATGGTGCGCCTCTTCCCCACTTCTCCATCTTCCACGCAGTGGAACTCCCAACATATAAGGACCGAAATGGACCTGCATGTCGTGTGAACCCTGTGAACCTGAGGCCTTTATCCCAGGATCTCCCTTTATAATCTTAAACCCGAAACCTGAAATCCTGAACCTTAAACCCATTGTGCCTTGGAGAAAAGGTCCGACAAAAACAAAGCCGTAAACCCAGGAGGATCTCCCTCCACGCGGTTAAGGGTTTAGGGTTTTAATTTCCTTCTTATAACCCCAATATACTATAGTAGCTTCCATTTTCTTTTCCATGATCCTTATATAACCCCAATGTACTATAGTAGCGTCCATTTTCTTTTGGATTCTCCCTATATAACTCCAATACACTATAGTAGCTTCCATTGTCTTTTCCTTTATCCCTATATAACCCCAATTCAGTTTAAATTGATATAACCCCTATAACCCTAAACCCTAACCAGGCATTATCCCTATATAAACCCTAGGTCTTGAGAAACCCTGGGCTCCACTCCTGCAGGTCTTACAGGAAAAAATTGCCTGCCAGCGTGCCTGGCCCTCAATTTGAAAATGAGCTGAGCTGCGTGGTTTCGGGCTACGATAGTACATTGGGGTTATATCGGGATAATGGAGTAGAAAATGGAAGCTACTATCGTATATTGGGTCCATATTTAGGGTTTGGTGTTCAGGGTTTTAGGGTGCAGGGCTCAGGGTCTAGGGTTAAGGGTCAGGGGGTTAGAGTTTCGGTAGTTTCCCAAAATGGGGGACCCAAATATAGACACCAAAATGCTATAGTCCTTATGAAAAGCCATCCCTCATTTTGGGCAACCCCATTCTGTAGAAGCAGTATGGAGGTTGCAGGGGTGTTTGTTTGGAAGGTCAGGCTACAAATTGGCATAGAATTTCTCGTATACATATCCCTCAGTCATACCACCGTGTCCATACAATCCTTCATAATGGAATCCATGGAAGCCCGAATACTTTGCTCAGCATTCCCTTCACATTCCCAGGGCCCCTCCGTAACCCTTAACCCAAAACCCTAAATCCTAAACCCTAAATCCTAAGCCCTAAATCCTAAGCCCTAAATCCGAAGCCCTAAATCCTAAGCCCTACATCCTAAAACTTAAAACCTAAAACCCAGTTTTTGAGAAAGCCCAGTTGAGGTTGAGCCTGTGCCCCGATGCGATCAACTTCCATCCATCCCTGCTGCCTAGACACCGCGGCTGTTGGCCAGTAGCCCAGTCTTGGAAAGGCTATAGTCTAAACCGCTTAAAAGGGGGTAATGTAGGGGATTATACAGGGTTTGCGGTTCAGGGTCTAAACTCCTTAAAAGGGGTATTACCCTCCCAATAATGGAGAATCGAAAGGAAAAGCAAATGGAACATGAAATGGAAACTGGGATTATAAGGTAGTTTATTGGGATTAGGGTTTGATGTGAGCTATAGTCTGAACTCCTTAAAAGGAGTAATACAGGGAATTATATAGGGGAATATTATAGGGGTTATTAAGGGGGATACTGTGATACTAGGAGTTTAGATTATAGCTCACATGGTGGTTTCCACGAACGAAGGGGTCCATGTATTCCAGTTGCTATATGGGCTGTATAGGGGTATCTGAGATTTAGGGATTTGGGTTTCAAGCTAGTGGTCCCTCTTTGGGGGCTTCCCTGTGGTAAGGCTGGTGGCAGATTGTTCTGCCAATGCCAACCCAAAACCCTACAAGGTATGTCTATTCGTATGCTCGTCAATGCACTCCCGTAGCGCCCTGCGCAGGGATCCATAGTTTGAAAACTATAGGGTTTAGAGTCAAAGGACATGTGTCATTTCAATGCGCGTTTGTAAAGGCGTCGCGGGTGGAGCAAGAATTTCTCATTCGCCATACTTTGCAGGTAAGAAGAGGGACACAAAGTTTCATAGATGCCCATACCATAGCATAACTTGAAGACCGAGATGCCAGTACAGGTATGCTGGAAAGGAGATGAATTCCAATTCTGCTTAAGTATCCCCATGATATGGAATCCTCTTAAGTTCTTGTATAGTCCATTGAGGTTGCCATTATGCCAAGTACTTAGCCCTGAACCCTAATTGGGCCCTAAACCCCGTATGTAACCCCCATATAACCCTCTGATTAGTCCAAGCACCTTAAACCCCAAACCCTGTTCCAGGTCAGGCTTCTGGTGCATTTTTGAGGGAGACGGCGAGACCGGCGTAACTTGCCACCGTATGGTGCAGGCCGAAAAGCGAGTTTACGACGGTGGTGAATTGGGGCCTGGGGGGGTGCTTGGTATACCCTGCTTCACAAGATTTTAACTATGTGATAGTCATAGGGTCCTAATATTGGGTTTTGAGAGTACCCCAATCCCCTGATTTTCAAATTGTGGGGCTTCCCATTGCTCTTTTGTAAGGGCGGCTGTAGGCAGGTGTTCGGTTCGGGTTTGCCAGTTTCTGAAAATGGCGGCCCCGAGGGGCCCTAGGGTCTGCGAGGAACACAAAGCGATGAGTGCCTGTTGATTCTATTCCTGAGGGGCAGCTCTGAGAACCTCACGAATGCAGGGGGGAGTGTTTAGGTATGTTTAGGTTGTTGCGAAAAGCTTGTACTTAATGCCGGTGTTGATAGAGTCGGAGCAACTTTTTGTCTAGGCGTGTTTGCAGATGCCCTGTCTTTGTGGCCGAAGAGGCACCCAAAACGACACATGCTTTTTGGAGCGATCTCCATGTTGCGCAGGAATTTGATGCGGGTCTCGTGCTGCACCAGGAGAGGATTGCAGTGGAGCTGGCCTCAGCTGATCTTAAGGAGCTTTGTGTTTCAGGTTTAGGCCGATCAGATTTGCAAGACTCAGGAGGATGTGGACACAGCCTTCTCTGCCCAGCCCACAGCAGATTCACTTGTGGTAGGCTTGCCAAGACCTTCATGCCAAGGGCAACATGTGAGCTACAGTCTTAACTCCTAGTATCCCTCTTGATAACCCCTATTATAATCCCCTACATGACCCCGGAGTTTAGACTATAGCTTATGTGACAGGTTTATCGAAAGCTGTTGCCCGTGACAGCCCGGTGTGCGCGAGAGGTGTTGAGCGCTCAGAGGTCAGGTTGTTCAGCCTCAAGGTTTGTGGGTATAGCGCGCGGTTTAGGGTTTAGGGTTTAGGGTTGGATACTGGCAAAGAAAATTGAAACTACTACTGTTTGGGGTTTAGGGTTTTAGGTTTGAGGTGTCAGGGTTTAGGAGGAAGCAGTGGAGCAAATGGAGTGGACCAACAGTTCATTCAGTAGGTCCAGCAGGCGAAGCCAGCCAAGTCACCCTTCCGGTATGATGACCTATCGGCCCCACTAACACAATTCCCCCCCTCCTCACGCCCCAACATGCATATTCCCATACATGCATTATCTTAGATGGGGGGTGTTTAATACTTGGGGGAAGAGATTACAAATCTTACGCTCTTCCAAACTAGCATGGAACACGATGAACCCCAAACCCTAAAGCCCTACACCCCTACACCCTAAACCCTAAAGGCCGCAGCCCGTAAACCCTAAAACCCTTAGAACCCTTGACCCTAAGCGCAGTGCGCAGTCTCAGGTTCTCAATGTATTTCAGTCCAGCTGGCCTCCCAGAAGGCAAGTCCGTATGCCCATTGAATGAGGGGTTGATTAGTTTAAAAGCAGAGGCTGCAGAAGCAAGAGACATGGACATTATGGGGGCTCCTCGGTACGAGGGGGCGATAGGGCTTCACAAAATCTATGGATGTTTTGTTGCTCTCTCTGCAAGCCTGAGCCAGGCACGGAGCAGAAAGGAGAAAGCTCCTATCACTTCAGGACCGCCTGCATCTAATTCCGGGGCCCTACATTGTCTAAGGTTTTCAAAAATGGGCCCCAAGTATTACCCTTGGGCCTTTTAGAGGGATTCCAGGGGCCCTTAGGGGTACATAAAGGGAATATAGTAGGTATATAAGGTTCCCAGGGTTTAGGGCCTACTAGGGGGTCCGCCCAAAGACTCCAGATTGTAATACTACACTACCGAAAAGTTTTCATAGCCATGTTATTTTCCATGAGAAATGTGTATACTGTGGGGGATGGCCTCATAATTCAGGGAGATGATTGCGCGTTGCCGTGCCTCATACAGAATGAGGGGAATGGACCTCTATTGTAGTCCCCTCTGATCCGCAGGAGATCCCAAGGATTTCTAAGCTTCATGCTTCCTGAGAAGAATCCCACTGTATCCCCCACACAATTCCCAGCAGTCATTCTTCAGAATCATTCTCTGGTTCCAGCGAGCACGAAATAAGAACTGTTTTTCTCTGCAGGTTGCTGCTACCCCTGCCTCGTTTCGGGAGGGTTCCCGGCAATGAGACTAAGAGCCACATGGTAGTTTTCCCATAAGAAGGGGGGCCCAACATAGACCCAACATACTATAACCCGGAGTACTGGGACCCCCAAAGTGGTACCCCCAATTTTGGAAAACCTCGTCATCATGTCATTGGGTACGATGCCACCACAAGGTACCCAAACCGCCCTGAAGAGCCGTCAATAGGGGAGACCCCTCATAATCCCTGAAGTTACCATAAGCACCAAACTCTAGTACCCCAAAACCTAAACCCCATGAATCCTGTAACCCTACGAACCCCACAACCCCCGTTAGTAAACCCTAAGCCCTGTAAACCCCTAATCTAGTGGGATTTTTGGAGGAAGCTTCCTTTCGATGGGGTCATCCAGCCAGAGTGGCCTGACCCACAGGCAGGTCCGGGCTTTCAAGATGTACTGTCTCCAGGGTTTAGGCTTTAGGTGTGCAGGGTTAAGGGTTCAGGGGTTGCGGGTTTAGGTGTGTAGGGGTTCAGGGTTTAGGTGTTTAGGGTTGAGGGTTTAGGGTTTAGGTGTTTAGGGTGTGGGGCTTAGGTGCTTAGGGTTTAGGTGTTCAGGGTTGCAGTAAGTGCTCCATTGTTCTGAGCGTTTTGGAGATATGTTTAGACTGGATAGTCTGGATTCTGATAGGACTTCAACAGGAAAGCACAAACAATGTCCCTTGCATGGTTCGCTCGAACTCTTGAAGCGGCCGCCGAAACACAACATGTAGAGCCTCTTCATTAAACGAGGGCCAACATTTCCCGAGACTTTCTTTCAAGCACACCAGCGGAATACTGCTCCTACATAGTTCCTACATGTTCTGGAGGCATCGGCGTCACATGGACTTTTTTGAGTTGTGCAAGTCTTACACCAGCATGGAACTCTATGCAAAGTAGTCTACAAAGGGCTCAGTTGAAGAATTCACGCTTCGGGGAATAAATGTTGTGGATGCTGCTTAACTTGGAGGGGAGATAAGGACCCCAGTTTCGACACATACCTACCCGGAAGTCCTTGAAAGGTGGAGCGCTTCATTCGCGCAATGTACTTCCCGCCGTTTGATGGTGCGGCTGCTCTTGTGGATGGCCATCGAATGCTCGTGGACTCCATGGAGGCCAAAAGAGTAGACGAAGTACTGCCGAAGGGTGTGTGTCTGTGTGTCACACATGAGTAGCAACCGCACTACTTGGTTCTGAGTAATCAGGAGATAAGCAGACAGATGATAGTAGTCTACGAAACTGCTGCTAGTACACATGCGGCTACTGCTAGTTGAGCATTGAGAGCAGCACTCCGGCTGGTGCCGAGAAATCTTTATGGTAGCAGAAGCACAAAATGATGATGCAAATAGAGTAGCAACAATAGTCATGGTGCTGATAATGAGACGTATAAAGGCAGTAGTGCTGGTTGTGATGGCCGTAAGAGCTGTAGCATTTGTGCTTGCCCTTGTGCTGCTATGTGCTGCTGGGAGGCCTACCACGCCCTGCGCACTCGTCCGACGGCCGCTTGGCACAGCAACCTTAAGCTGGGCATCTTGTGAGTTCAAACAAATTGGGGATCCACCTTTCCAGGGCCCTTTCAGCCAAAACCCTAAACCCTAAACCCTAAACCGTGTAAGCCGACCCTTAAAATACAATACTGGTTCGGAGAACTTTGTCTTTAGTTGAATGCAGTTACTGGAATCACATCCACAAAGGAGCCTTCTCCGCAAAGTTCGTGAGGATGGCAGGGACCTTAGCCTCACAGTGAGGGTAAGAGAAGAAAACTATAGTAGTTTCCATTTTATTTTCCATTATCCCTATATAACCCCAATTTACTATAGTCTATAGTAGTTTCCATTATCTCTACAGTAGTCTAAGGTAAATGAGTAAGTGAGAAAAGCTGTAGGACCATCGCTGCGGCTGCCACCGCACCGACTGTTCCCAAAAATCAGAACAAAGCTAGCTAGGCAGAAGAGTGATTCTTCTATGTGTATGTCCGTTGCCATCTTCATGAGCATTCTGCTTCAAATGCAAAATTGCTTCCCCTGCCAGGCTGTATTCGAGGCACGAGCGCTGGCGTCGCCCTGGAAAAAGTCTGGCATTAGAGGGTATCCCAAATCCCACAATTCTACGGAATGGCGATCTCTTTCATTGGGGGTGTCTCGGGGACCTATTCATATTTTGAGCATGTTTCTGTGCACCAGAGATTCCCGCCCAAGTTTTCTTCCTTTTCGACAGGTGTAGGACTGAGTCCCCACCATGAATGCCGTAATGCAGTGCTTTCCCCTGCATGGACTAGATGAATCTATTCGTCCATTCCATTGGAGGAAAAGTACTGGAATTATGGGTTAATCCCTAAACCCTAAACCCAAGTGGATTCAGGGAAAGTATTGGATTAACGAATTTATGGACTTATGACTAGCACCCTGCCCAGGTCAGTGCATACGAAAAGAGCGGGAGTCGCCCAACAGCTTTGGTTTAAGTTGTGTTCCCTAAGCCCTTAACCGTCCCCTAAATCTTCTGAAATGATATCTTTAATTGAAGCCGGATTTTGTCTAGCCTGCATATCTATCTCTATCTATCTATATATATACACACACATATATATGTCAATAATTCCTGTGTCGAATTTGGTGCCTGCACTTTCTTGGGGCTCCACTCGTCAATCCCACATCTTGGTTTAAGCCAGGTGCCACACCAAGGTTCGCATGTCGTGGTTCATCACGTTTCGAGGTCTCGGAGTCAATTTTCAAACAAGGTGCGCAGGTAGTGAAAAAGCATTGCGATCCCTCTTACTTGCGCTCCTTATGGGGAAGTTGCCATCACCTCCTTTGTATGGTGCACAAGATTTGGGCAGGGCGCAGTTCCGCAGATTCAGGCAGCGCAAGCCAGCAAGTGTCTTGCTGAGATTCTATTGTGGTATCTTTGAAAATTTGCTTGTCCATCGCTTTCGGCATGCCAGGCAAGCTTGGATCTTTTCACGACGTTGATTTGTTTCAGCAAGGTAGCACGCTGCAACGGTGTTTGTAGCACCTGGCTTCAAGAATTGCCCCATTCACATAGGAGACCCACCAGGTCCCAGGAAACAACCCCATGCAGTCAAACAAGTTCAATATTGAATAGTTCCGCATGGAGAGCGCCATGCGATTGGGACGGCATGTGGTGGATTGGAGGACCGTCAATGAAGCCGCATAGTGCCATAAGAAAGTCAGCAACGGATGCAATTCTACAATTGCGATGAGAACCATCGAATTGAGGATGCAAAGACTGGTGGTACGTTGGCGTGATGTCCTAAACACGCATAAGTCTGGCTGCTTTGCAGTGTGCGCGTTATTTCGGGCAGCGGTCCCGTTGAAGTAGGTTGCATTTTGCGAGGGATGTGCCTGCTGGCTCCTACTTGGACGTATACTGTCGCACGGCATGTGACAGGTGCTAACATACGCAAGCAGCTGGGAGATAGGAAGAGATGATTTCGATGGCGGCTTCCGTGATGCCATTCCAGACCAAGAAGCTCCCATCCCGAGGCTTCGACAGGCGAGGATTGTCTGTTTGCTAAACCTTCAACTACCCGGGATCCAGACCTACGTACTCACTATTTGGGACCTCATAGCCCCAATTAAGGGTACTGGTAGAAATTTGGTCGATGACACCACTCTCAACCATGGGTTCCATGCATACGATAGGCCTCCTAGTGCTGGTTTAGGAAGCAGGGGCTGAGGTTTCGGGACTTGGGCCCTTCGGAGTCAAGGTCTGGAAACACTCATTCGGAATCAAGATTACAGGTTCCATCTACTGAACAAGGACTGTAAGGGGTCATATTAAAGGCTTAGGGTTATATAGGGATAATGGAAAAGAAAATGGAAACTACAATAATTAATGGGGTGTCACTGAAGGCATGTTTGCCATGAGTGGTCCGCATAAGTCTTGCAGGGTCGTCATACAGTCATCCTCCCAGGTAGCTCATCCGCTGAGTTGCAACTGTTTTTTCCGTAAGCCCTGCATTCAAACCATATGAGCTAGAGTTTATACTCCTGAAAGGAGGTTATATAGGGGATTATTGTGGGGGACTATTACAGGGCTTATTAAGGGGGAGAATAGGAGTTAAGACTATAGCTCATATACCTCAGACCCCAAACTGTGAGCCTTAAATCATGCACAGTAAACCCTGAACTTCTCGAGGCGGGCAAATCATGGGGAAGCCTGGCAGATCCAGGACGCTTCCGGCACCTGGGGAGGTTCTGCATATCATATGCTGGGTTCCTGTTGACGGAACCTGGCTTCGTATGGAATATGCTTGAATGAATTTGGGGGTATGTTTTGGGACTCCCGCACACTCCGTTGAAACCAGCTGTGCAAATCCCCAGGAAATTTCAAGAGTATGCAACTCCGCATTTATCACCGGGGTGGCCCTCTTGAAGAGACCTTGGAAGGGTTGAACCTTGCTGTCACGAGGACCCGGCCTTCCTCGTCGGGAATTGCTGCAACCCTACTCTTACCCTTTTGGTTAGCTGGGGATCAAGGAATGGAGAAGAAAATGGAAGCTACTATTCAAGGGCTTATATAGGGCTCTATAGGGGTTATATAGGGGTAGTGGAGAAGAACATGGAAACTACTATAATGCGTTGTATAAGGACTGCTAGAAGGATCCATGTCTTCATTCCTAGCTAACCAAAGGTGAGTATTGCAGCAGTGGATGCAGGGTTTGTTTAGTGTTTACCCAGAACCTTCTCTAATGTACTTCTTTTCGAAAGGGGCAGTGTATTTTGTCTCCTCTCCGGAGAGCCACATGCCCAAAATTAACTATCTGGCATGAAGGCTTCCTATCCGACAATCACTGATGGGAAATGCATCTGCACAAGATTCTGGAACGGGCTTTGGGCTTCTGTACGATGGGATGCGATGAGGAGATGTTGCTTAAGGGAGCCTATGGAGACCGATTTGTTTGAGAAGTCTTTGGATCCTACTCTACTTTCAGGAGGTGCGGTTATTCCCGCAAAAGCAGACATTGTTGAGTCCCCCATCTCAACAGGTCCGACGATTGGGTGACTCCCCCGCGCCCGCTGCCTCTCTCCTTTGGCTACAAGGCTCTCCGCGGGCCCTGCAAGAATTGTTTCAGGACTACACTCCCGGAAACTAACATGGAAACCCCAAAAGTGCCCTATAAAGACTACAGTCCCTTTAAAAGGGGACTACATGATTTTCCATGTTAGTTTGGGGGAGTGTGGTGTTCAGAGATCATCAAGATATGCTTCGATCCGTTCAAGGCATGTTGATCAAGTAGGAGATCTTGGAGTTTCTGGAAGTGTCAGTGAACCGCAGCAGGACATCACCCTTGGGGTCACGCACCAGGTGGGACTGTGCCGAAATTAGGAACTTATGAAGTTAACCCATAGTGTGGCAATATAGCTGTTTTTGCGCGAGCTGTCACTGATAGAAGTTATGATAAATTATAGTGCCAGGCGTCCTCATGACGGCAATGGCCAAGATTGTATGCACCCTTGTAAAACTGCGTTATGTTTGGGCCGCCGTACAGAGGATTAAACTGTGCTATGCAGGCCTATCCTCGCTCCTTCGCCATCAGTCCGGCGCGTGAGGTCAGTTGCATCCAGGGAGTGTTTCAAACGCGCCTTCTGGGACCCTAGCGTGTCTTAGTAATCTCCAAAAAATCGAAACCTGTAATTTCGAGAGTCTTCCATGTTTTTTTCTGACAAGCGTGTGCCGCCTTTTGAAGAGGTTAATAAGGGGTCAGGGTTCAGTGCTCTTGCAATCATAGTTCCAAAGTTCTTTGTATCAGAGCTGACGTCCTGCGGGGGATCGCAGATTTTGAGAAGCTCGGGATGTAGGGTTTTCCATTGGTTGCTGAATCAGATCGTCTACACCATCGAAGGGACCACTTCCTATAACATTTCTATCCAGCCTCATGGGCTCAAGTCCTAATACTTCAACCCCAATCTGGCACCCTAAAACCAATGCAGCCTAAACTCTGAATCCCAAAGCCCTTAGCCCAATTCCATTCTCTCATAACAGTAACTTAATTAGAAGCAAACCAGAAAATGTGACCCACAAAACCAGCAGGTGTACCCAAGACCTCGATACGGCAGCCGTGATGGCGACCTTCCTTCGGCCCAGGCTTTGTGAGCTGAGTTCAGGATTCATCCGGCTTTAGGGATCAAAGCTTAGGGATATTAAAGCGGCA